GGAAACCTAAATCTCAAAGGAAACTTCGCAGAAAGTGGAAAGGGGGCAGGCTAGTGCAAGGCGGGAATAAAAGTGGTAAGATCGAAGGTTTTTGGATTTTTCTTTTTGGTACAGAGGGTGGCAATTTTTCTTTGGAAGAATCCTCAGTTTTGAGGTTCTTGGTGTGAAGCTTGATTTGGTCTGTTCTTTGATCAATCCAAGCTCGCAGACCTTCTTTCAAAACCAAACTTGATTTCCAGACATTCTCTCTGCTTTCTCTTGTTCTCCGGTGATCCAGGATTTCCCGTTCCTGTAGTCATCAGACTTTAGTTTATTCACCCCAAACCTAATTAGATCTAGGGTTCTGGAAGTTTTGTACGTGAAGAGCCCAACTTCTTCACTTATCAGTAAATTGTTAAAATGCTACTCTGGTCCATGGCTAGGACTACGAACCCAATATATTTTGGTTCAGCATCAATGGCCTAGTTTGATTGCGGAGCCATCAGGTTGGTTTAGTGGGATTGTCTGTGCTCTTTTGATTGAAACTCTCCTAAAATTGTCTCCATCGTTATGCAAAGAGAAAACTTGACATTTTTAAATAAAAAAATTAAAAAGTTTATAGTTTTGTTTAAAAATTAATAAAATTTGTATTTTTAAATAAAAAAATTATGAAGTTTGTATTCTTACTCGCAATTTTTGGCTTCTTCAACTTGATAAAATCTTGATGCTAAATTGCATAATTAGATAAATTTGGTTGCTGTCTTTTGTTAGTCATTCTGCAATTTTCATAAGTTAAGTTTTTTATTTTACATTAGAATATTTCTGCGTCCTTTCGTGGTTAATTTTGTTTTTTTCGAGAGTCATTCTTACTTATTAAGCATATATATGGTTGTTTGTCTTTAATTTGCCCTTGTACAGTTGAACTTAAATTTTATTTGTTAATTTAAATTTCTTCAGAGATGTCCTGCTTTAAGGTCCTTAATCTGGTTTTGAACTCTAAGATGGACGGGGTGTTCTTTAGAGGAATGCTTAAAAGAGGGGTTTTCTATCAATTGAGGAATTTTGCATTATGTCTGTTCTTATGCCTTGAGAAAGGTTAGAAATTGAGTTTTGGAGAGTGGGAAACCGACCCAATCTAGGGTCTCCATGATTTAAAACTATGCTAATCTACGTGGCTGTTTCGTTTTCGCGTTCTCTCTTTTGGTTATTTGCTGGAATTCTAATGATATTCAGTAAAGGTTGAAATCCACTATCTGCTGAATCTTAATGGCTTTGGGAAGACAAGTAATGCAAGTTTGGTTATAAATACTGAAAATTACATCTTTCTGTATTAACTTGATACATTTTCCTCAAAAAATACTTGATACATTTAGGGTATCTTAAAACTAAACTAGTCTTCTAATTTAATGCATCTTAACATATTTATATAGCTTATGCATTTACTATTTCTTCTATGTTAGACTCTTTGCCTTTAAAGTTATTCCGACTCAAAAGAAAACCTCCTTAAGCAGAATCCCTGGTATACTGAGTTGTAAAATTATTGTTGAGTCTTCTATAAGTGTTTTGGCTTTGTTGTATTTAGATGCTTTGTAACTAATATTATTTGAAGATGTATATGGGTTGGAGTATCCTTATACATCAAATAATACAAATAATTGATTCATCTAAAAGTATATGTATGACAAAAGATTCGTCACTTCTTTTAGCAGCAGCTACAGCAGCACTCATTAATGTACCAAAATGATCGTTTCCACAAAGAAAAAGAAAAACATACATGAACATTTCCATTTACATTTTAAATATATGCCAAAACGCATTTATTTTCTTGGTTGATAAGTGATGGCTAACCAACCTACCAAAACACACATGAGCATTTCCGTTATTTTTTAGGCAGCTAAAGATTAAAGAAAACACACATATGTTGCAGGATATAGGGATGTCATGGTGAAGCTGGCTTGTTAAACTCCTTGTAAGTCTGCAGAGCAATCAAGAGAAGACCTGCAATGGCACCGACAAAGACCAGGAAGCTCCAGGGAGTCCTGAAATAGGTGTGATAGAGTTGAGCCAAGTCGCTGGCCCATACGCTGTTGCAGTGTACTTGGATACGACCTTGCAGGTCTAAGAACTGGAGCTCAGGATTTGACACCAGGCAATCACTGATCTTGTTGAACAGCTCTGCTACTGCTTCATCGCTTCCTAGTCCGTTGTGCAGCAGCCTGCAACTCTCAGTTCCTTTACATCCTCTCCTTTATCAATCAAGGAATCTAGGAATGCCACATAAGTGCTGACCTCGTAGTCGTTTCTGAAATCCGGACACATTTCATGTGCTATCAAGTTCAGCAACTTAGGAATCAGGGAGTCGTCCCCCAAAATGGGATGCAGCTTAAGGGTTGGCATGCAAGAATTATCACAGAATTCAATGTCCGTGGCATTGCTCGTCTGAGTATTACGGTACGCTTTAACAAATATCCCCTTCTCTTTCAGCTCCGTTGCACCGCGAAATGTGTATTGTCTGCTCTTATTTCTAGAACCAATCTTCTTGGGGATTCCCCGAGAGCCATCTGATTTGTTGACCTGTTGTTGTATCTTACTTCCCAATTTGACTCCGATCAGCTTTCTGCGCAACAGTCCCAAAAAATGAGCAGGATCTTCATCATCAGAAATGAATATCGATGTTTGTTGGGGTTCTGCTGCTGCAGTCTTTGTTGCAATTTTTGTTGCCGCTGCAGCAAACTTTGTTGTGGTTGTTGCTGCTGCTGTTGCGGTGTTCTTTTTTTCTGTTTGTTGCTGCTGCTGCGATCTTTGTTGTGATTGTTGCTACTGCCAACTTTGTTGTGGTTGCTGCTCCTCCT